ACCCGCCTGAGTACGCGTGGTGACGGGACCCCGCAGTTTTTGTTCCCCCATACTCCCCCCGCACACCCAGCCGGCCCGAGGAAGGGGGGGGAACTCTGGGAGTTGAAGTCCACACATCTGAAAGCTGCCAAGGTTGAGAAACGCTGAGTTATGCTAATGAAAAAGCCCAAGGGAAGCCCCAAAGCAAGTTTTGTACCAGTTGTAAAAACAGGTGGTTTTACTTGTTACAGTGTGCATTCTTTATGGCTAAGGCCTTCTTGGGTTTGAAGCTGTTTGTCTTCTGCTTTGTAGGTCTTCCAGGAAGAGAGTTTGTTCCTGATCCACCCGCCTGGCAGCTTTTGCCCCTCTTCCCGCAAGCATGGAGCCACGGTCCTCAGTGTTGGTGCTGCTGTTACTGAGCCTGGCCAGGCCAACTCTGTCAGGTCCTGAACCAATCACCGGGCCAAGATGTACCTACACCTTCATCTTGCCCCAGCAGAAGTTCACAGGAGCAGTGTGCTGGAGCAGTGTCCGTCCTCCTGCTGAAACTCCAGGCCCCAATCGTAGCGAGGTGGAGGAACTCCATGACCAGCTGAGCCGGCAGCAGGCACAAATGGATGAGCTACGGCGACTGGTGGAGGTGGATGGGGCCATGGTGAGCGAGGTCAAGGCGTTGCGCAAGGAAAGCCGCAATGTCAATGCCCGGGTCACCCAGCTCTATACTCAGCTGCTTCACGAGATTCTTCAGCGACGAGAACGGCCAGTGCAGACCTCTCAGCTTGAAGGGCGGGTAGCCAATGCTTCTGCTGAGGCCGCACGGGTGGCTGCCAATTATCGTCAGCTGGAAGGGAAGTACAATGCTTTGGCCGCCCTTGTCAACAATCAGAGTGCCCTCATCAGCCGCCTAGAGAGAGAGTGCCAGCAAGGAGCAGCTGGCAGGGAGGTGCGCCCACAGGTACTGGCCAGAGGGAACTGGGACTCAGGAACCCGATGAGAAGACAAGGGGGTAGATAGGCAGGGCAGAAAAAAGCAGGATTATCAAGACAATGGTAGCTGATTTTTTTTTTTTAACTTAAAACTGGAGCTTCCGAAAATCACACTTTCTCCATGGGAAGGGTTACTGTTTAATCTTCCATATACAGCAGTCTGATGCTTTCTCAATTTGTTGGGCTTCCACTTCCATAATTTCTAGCCAGAGGGCTGATACCTACTGTGTGTGACTTCAGGCAAGAACTTGTATGAATACTTCTTCATCTTCCTCACTCCAAAACTCCTCATTTATAGAAAAGCAGAATGTCAGGGATCATAGAAGCAGAGAATGGAAGGATCTTGAAGATTAGCTAGTCCAACCCCCTGGCCAGTGTAGGAATCCACCAGTCCAGAATCTCTATCCAGCTTCTGTTTAAACTTCTCCAGCAGGAAAGAAAAGAAATATATAAAGAAGTGACTTCCCCTTCATCACCACAAGTATAAATATTTTAGTAACTGATCACTTTCTCTTAAAATACAACAAATGATCTCTTCTTCCTATATCGCATCTCTTATCATAAACAAATCCATAAAACCTCATCAATTCAGTCCTGATGTCAGCAAAAGTCCATTAAGGATTACCAGAGATAACAACATATCTATTTTAACCTTTATCAGATAAACCAACTTTACATTCCTTCCTTTTACTTTTAACAATCTTAAACTTTAGTCCCTTCAAATAATGTCCTAGAACTTGATTTCTTTTCATTTTTCTTTGTTCCTTCTCACAAAATTCTTTAAAACCTTAACAAGTCTCTTGTAAATCCAATGTAGGAAAATTATCCAGGTCACTCTCTTGGTTTGTTATTTGTATTTCCCTTTTAATTATTAAGACATCAGCCAGTTTCTTTTGTATGTGCAGTGTAACATCTTTTTCCATGTCATCTTGTAGCCTGTTATTTTTAAATTCACTTTCAACTCAGTCTCAATCATGTCAAGTAAGACTTGTTTCTCTTCCATAGCATCTTTTAAACACAGTCTATCTGTAGAGGCAGACACTCTTAAAATTAACTTTCTGGGTCCATTGTTCAAAAATATCCTTCAATATGCCCAATGTTAAAATACTTTGCTCCATTCTGTATTTGTAAGTTGAATTTGAGTGTTCTTCTCCTTAATTGTAATCTTTAGTTCCTTCTAGTTCCTGCTAGTGTCCAATTTTTAAAGTCTCATCTTTTTTTTTTTTAAAGAACTCAAAACAAAAGCATTTTCCCATAGGAAAGATTCTTTATAATTAATTCCAAAATCTTATTTCAAATTTACCTGGACCCTTAGTCTGTTTGTAACATTTTAAAATCAAAGTTTTAATCACCCTTTTGCTGTTTATTCCAGAAAAAAAAATTAAGTCTTTAAACTTGTATTTAAAACTTCTTTCACTAAGGATTGAAAGCAACTTGCCCAGTACTGTAAAACCTGTTGATCTAAAGGTTGCTAATAGCTGAAAAGCAGTTAAGAAGCAATTTCTGAAAGTGATCAGAAAAGGAAGTATGAGAATCCAGTGTCCTTTTAAAGGTGCTGTCCGTGGTTTGAGCAAGATGGCTATTCCCTTGTCCCCCTGAGCTTTAAACCCACTGGAGACCACTGTCCTGCTGTCTCCTCATGAGGGGCAACTGTCTGGAGCACTTTGTGCAATCTCATGTCCTCTTCTTATTTAGAGAGAATTACAGAGCCGGACTACTTGCCGGCTCTTCATTCTGCCATGGTCATCAGCTCCACTTTTCGCAGAGCCATCTTCAGTTCACCATTTCTTCCCCGGATCTGGTTTTTCTCATGGACTGAGAAATATATCTGGGGCCTTATCCTGGAGTCTCTTGGTTATTTAAAATAAAATCCTGCCCAGAGGAATCATGTGCAAATGCATGTGTGTGTTTCCCTACCTTAACAGCAGCCTTGGAGAGTTAAAACTTTTCTCAACCCTTTATCTCGTGTCTGTAAAAGCTACATATCTGTACATCAGGCAGCAGTTAAGAACCCAGGAGTCCTGACAACAGGAAAAACTAACCTAAACTCTGTCTTCCTTTCAGTCCTTGGACAACTTTCTTCCAACCTCAACTGCAAAACTTGCTTTGCGCAACAACCACCCTCTCCTTCCCCAACCTAGGAACTCAGTGAGGTTGGGGCAAAATTCAAACCTGTGCTGAGCTGACAGGACCATATTTAGAATGGTTTGAATTATAATATTTTTCTGGCTAGGCTCTTGGACCAAACATAAGAACAGGGGTGCAGAAAGGTTTCCCCATCACTAGTTGAATCTCCTTTGCCAAGAAAAACTTTACCTGCTGAAATTTTGTGTGGGCAGCAGAGGAAATAAAATGGTAAGTGTGACAGCCTGAATTCAGCCATGGCTGTCTGCTGGCTGTTCACATATCCATCCGGACATCCAAACAAACATATTGGAGATAAATAGAAAGTGAAAAGAGAATGGATAGTTTAGATTCCCATATTCTTACAGGAGAAGAAAGGGTTGTTGAACTGCCATCACAGAGTTTTTAGAACACCAGAAAGGACTCTGGAAAGAACTTTGAAGAACAAAGGAGTATTTTGATGGACGAAGTGTAACGGCTGGCAGGACCTACAGTAAGATGGATCTAGACCAGGGTTTCTCAACTTGGCAACTTTAAGACATATGGACTTCAACTCCCAGCCAGCTGGGGAATTCTGGGAGTTGAAGCCCACACGTCTTGAAGTTGCCAAAGTTGAGAAACCCTGATCTACACCATCTAGATTTGTAGTTTTAATAAAGGGTAGCCTAGGCTAGTCAACCTAAATTGGATTGAGCTGTGTTATACTGCAGAAGACTTGTGTGTCTGAAAACAGTTCCAAAGAAGATTGATAAAGAAAGCTGTTGGGTGACATCTGGAAGAAGTCTTACTCAGCAGTGTTTGAGTAGGGTCAAAATCAACAAGATAGCAGACGGAGCATCACAATTAAAGCCCCAACCTTTTGTACATGTGTCATGTACATGTTCAAAAGGGACAGGACTTGCATTATAATGCTCCAGCCACCGTTCTTGCAGATTTTGACTCAGCCATCTATGGGCACCACTGGACTCACTAAAGACCCAAAAAGAACCACATTTGGGGGAACTTTTTCTACTCAACAAAGTTAATCCTTCAGGGATTGAAGAAGGTGGAAGGAAAGATGCTACCAGTCAGAGCCAAGGCAGAAATCTTCTCTTGATCTGACAGAGAATGGAAGCTGGCCAGCATATACTTCACCCTTTCCTTATCTTTAAAGTAGGATAGAGGAATTCAAAATAACTGTGTGGATGTATCTGTTAGAACAACATTATTTCCCACAGACATATAAGCAGTTAGAGAAAACTTAGGCTATGATATTCAGTTCTCTCTACTGTTTAAAAATCAAGTGACAACATTATCAGAAAGCAAGCACTGGAATGCAGTTAGCTAAATGTAAATTCTGCTTGGAGAGCTAGACTGGAGAAGACTAAACTAACCGATGCCATTAGCCTTGATGTGTTTCCTTAATCAATGCCCCCATCCAAAAATCCAAAGAAGTTGCTGTTGCACTTTGTTATCCATCAAATCCCATGAACCTACAGGAAGCCCCTGTGACAGTAATCATAGGATGAAAACAGATGTGGTTTGAACCAACCCACACTTGCAGTATTCCAAGTTAATTTGCTTTTCATTCCACCAGGGTGGAATGAACAAAAGACTTCCTCCACATTTCAGACCTATCATCTTGCTTTCACCTTTAATCATCTACTTTCTTCATTAAATATTGTTTAGAAACAAGTATACACAGCTATTCAATGGGTGCATAATGTTCTTCAAGTGCACTACTATAAGGCTGGGACATTTTGGTTTCTTCATAAACTAGCCTTCACCAATCTCATGCTCTCCAAATTTGTTGTGGAAAGCACCAGGCAGAGGAAGGGTGGACTGTACAGTTCTACCCATGTAATCCCACCTTCCTCCTGCAAATTGAAAAGAATTGCATTGTTCTCAGTAACTGGGTTGCACCACAGGCAGGCAACAGCAAGGTCCGCCATAGCCACAAGACATCCATTTTCTGGGGAAGCATTTCCCCCCCCAAAACAGCATAGAAAGGGTTCTAGAGCTCAGATGAGATGGTCTAAATTGGAAGTTCCTCCTCAAGGATATGATTGTTGGATAAGATTGCTCCTCCTCTTTCCACAGCCCCCTTTGGCACCAGTGGTACCTCACAGTCTTGCAAGCATCTCAAATGAAAGCAGAGCCCACTTTGACACTGTCAATGACATCCAGCGAGACCAGACAGCATCTGCCCAGCACTGGTCTGACAAGGCTCCCTCCCCTCTGGATGGCACTCCTCTCCTCCCTGCTGTGGGGCCCACCGAATCTACAGGTGAGGGAGCGCACAGCCACCAAGAAACACGGCTAGAACTGTGCTTGACAGTCTGTTGCCATGATAGGAAGTGACCAGGACCTAGGTTACCCAAATGGAGAGGTAAAGCTATTCCTAAAAATGAAGAAGCAATCCTCCTTTACTTCAACTCCACCTGCCAGGGAGAGAAATCCGAGTTACCTTTCTCTCTGATATTGGTATGATGATATATGTTTAATTTTCTGTAGGGAATTTTTCAGCTAAGCAATTGCTTCCACCCATAATTTGAAGTGAATAAGTCCAGGAACAGTTTAATGCTATTTAAATACAGATTAATGTATAGCTCTGGGACACAAACAAAGCATGAATATCCCAAGAATTCATTATCTTGTAACCAATTCACCACTTTTCTGTGCACTGCCCTATCCCCTGGCTCAAAATATAAACTACATGTGCTTCATGCTGTTCCTAGTATACCTTCATACTGCTAACTAAAGGATGTTCCTTTCCTCAGATTTATCAGCTTTGGTTTTGAAAGTTGAATTATAAACCATCATGAATAGCTTATTGTAATTTAGAGGGAGGATTCATACTTGTAACGCAGAGTGTTGGCCTTATAACCTCTCCCCACCCAATACTGTTCTCCCTTACTTGTTCTTGGGGCCTCCTGCTTCTTCCACAAGGCATCTGTAGATGAGAGCCAAAAAAAATGAATGCAGTCTACAATGACAACTATGCCCCACCCCTTTCATTCTGGAGATCCAAGCCCTTGATCTGATGTTCTAGCTTGGCTGAGCATCAAACAGCATTTGCTAAGGGTAAACCAGTGATTTGTTAATAGGCTTTCAAAACTGACAAGGACCTAAATGCCAGACCATAGCCTCCCAAGCATACAGGAGGCTCTTGGTACAGAGGACACATTCCAGTCCCCTCCGCCTGAGTCTCTCTGTGGAAAATGTGGCTTATGGTTAAAGGCATGCCTGCCAAAAGACAAAGTACCAACAATGGTCCCTTAGCCCAAAATGTGGGTTTTTTTAGGAGCCATGGCAGCGTCAGGCACTTTGGAACAGCTCTATTTTGTTTCCTGTGCAGGGCCTTGGTCTGACTGTCAAGCAGCTCAACAGGATGGGCAACCCAGTGGCATCATCATGCTGCAACCAGTTCATGCCCGGGGTATCATCCAGGTCTGGTGTGACCAGGAGTACGACGGAGGTGGCTGGACAGTGATCCAGCGGCGGCAGGATGGATCGGTCAATTTCTTTACCACTTGGCAGCATTACAAGGTTGGAGGATATGGCTCCAGGTGCCCCCAAAGAGAGGAGCTGTGAGGTGGAAGGGTGCCCAAATTGTGGGTACAGCGGGGTGGACAGAATTGTAGGATGCACACTTACTTGAAGTTAGAGCTGAAGTCACATAGTTGGGCAGAAGTTAGAGGATGAAGAGTCACACATGATGAAGTTAGGAGACAGGTTCATAAACTGCACTTCAGTAGGTAGTCATAAGTAGCATTAAAAGGAGAACTGGTTCATGAGTCTCAAAGCAAAAGACTCAGGCATACCTACTTTTGGGCCTGGATACTATAATAGAAAAATGGTTATAAGTTTATATGTGTCTTCACGGAGAAGGAATTGGGTATGTATATCTAAGCTAAAATTGTTTTGAATGTTAGTTTCTTGAGAAAGCCATAATGGATGGATTCATCCATAATGTTAAGCCATAAACCATGGTTCACAAAACATACTAAAACACAAAAACACACTAAGTCACATTTTGCCTTAGTAGAATATAGGAACATAACCAGGGATATAGGGCTGTTCTCTTAAGCATCTGGGTGGCTCCAGAGATACCAGAAGATCTCCTTGCAAAGGAAAGACGGTGCTGAGTCCAGGTGGCAGATAATTTTGGGTACTGACCTGGCATGGTATGAATGCAAATTTTGTGTGTGTACTATATATTTTCCTAATTTCCCACTATAGAAGCATTCTAGAGAGAGTCGTCCGCCTTAACAGGCCCCCTGCTAATCATTTGCTTGCTGTGTTTTTCTTAGAACGGTTTTGGGAACCTGGAAGGGGAGCACTGGCTGGGCCTGGAATCCATTCACTTGCTGACCCGCCAGGGTTCATACATGTTGCGTGTGTTGATGGAAGATTGGAGTGGGCGACAGGCCCAGGCTGAGTACAGTACCTTTGCTCTGGAGCCCGAGAATGACTTCTATCGGTTACGGCTGGGCAAATATCAAGGCAACGCTGGAGACTCTCTCTCTTGGCATAATAGCCGACAGTTCAGCACTCTTGACCACGACCACGATGCTTACTCAGGTAAGAGGACAGAAGGGCTGGTGGAAGCTGCCTCAGCAAAAGGATACATCAAGAACTGGGCAGGAAGTACTATGGATAAGACCAGTTTGGTGTAGCATTTAAGGAGTCAGACTAGAAGCCAGGGAGAGTGAGTTTCAATCTACTCTTAGGAATGGAAGCTGGCTGGATGACTTTGGCACAGTTACTCTCTCAGCCCAATGTACCTCACCTGGTTGTTGTTGTGGGGAAAATAGGAGAAGGGGGCATTATGGATGCCACTTTGAATTGTATAGATAAGGATTTACTCACTGTATGTTTAATCCCTTTCTTTCTCCTTGGAGCTCAGATTGATGGGTGGGAGCCTTCTATTTGTTTCCTCACAAAAACTGTGAGGAAGGCTTCAGCTCAAGATCAACCAGCTGGGCTGAGGCAGCAATCTGAACCCAGGGCTTCCCGACCTCCAGCCATTACATTCCGCTGGCCTATGGAGCATCCCACTGGTTGCTTCCGCATGAGAGTAAAGCAGGAGGAAGCTGTTGTGATGGGACTTGAAGGCAGGCCCATGACGTCTAGAATCATGAATAGAAATCTGTGACCAAAACATGGAATTCGCTTCACACTGATCCATAAGATAAATCAACATGTGCAGACCATAAGGATGGAGTGTGTGAAAGGAAATTATTCTGTCTCTGAAGAGAATGGTTAGACAGTTAGCTTATTTTCCCGAATGACACAACATTATGTGAGTATGTATGTGTTTTCCATATCCTTAATTCAAAAAAGCCCAGATTGTTAAAATGTACAAAGAGATAAAATTGATGCCAAGACCACGATTACATCTGTACTCAAGTTTCAGCCAGTTTAAAAGATTTTGACCTATAAAGGCCATATGTTGTCTTGCATACATCAAGGAGACTTCTGTTCTCCTGCAAAATGCATTATCTGGTTAGATATGCTGCCTCAGCAAAAAATTTCATTTTAGGAGACAAAACTAACTGTTTTATTCCTGGAAACCCCCCCCCCCAAAATTCCAGGCAGAAGACTCAAAAGGGTCTATGCAGTTAGCCAATCTTTCCCTCTTGAAGATTTTCTGGGATAATTTATATCAAACATAATAGGAAAAAATGAGAGGGAAAGAAATAGCAACATAGCACAACCTGGGTTTCCCACTTGGTCTGGGCAGAATTCTCTATTCAGGGCAGGCTGTTTTATGATTTAGCAGCTGTGTTGTGCTTTGGCTGGAGGTACACCATATTCGTTTCAGTTATGTCCATTGGTTTTATTCTTGTCTTTAAAACACAGTGTTGGTTTTTATTTCCCATTTTGTTGAGCGGTGGAAAGAGCAAGAATTATGCTACATAGAAGGGCACTGGGAACCTAGAATCTGCAATTCACAAGATATTAAAGGAGAGCTTAGATGGAAAGCAAATTAATATTTCTGAGCAGGCATTAAACTTGCTTCATTCTGCATCAGATTTCTAGAAGGGAGCCTGGGCATTTAAAGGATTTCACTTTCAATTAACTCTCTTTCTCTCTGTCTCATTTGCCTTCCACCATAGCAAAACTGGCTCCAAACTGTTTCTTTTTTTCTTTCCACTAATTGGAAGTTATGTTCCTTCCAAATGCTGCTTGATACCACAGGAAAGAAATGCACTGCGCTGCACTGATAAAGGATCATCTGATCTATCTAGAGGTAGTCCTTGTTTAGCAACCACATTTGGGACTGACAACGTGGTCGTTAAGTGAAGCGGTCACTAAGTAAAAAAATCACGAGACTGCGCTTATGACTGCGCTTATGATTTTACACAGGACAATGTGTACTAATTGACTGTAATGGTGAACACGTGTCAGAGAGAGAGAGATGCTGCGAAGGTCATAATGCACGCCTTGGTCGCTAAGCAAAGACTATCTGTATTTATCTATCTAATCAGTTGATATTTTATCAATGGAGTGCAGTGCATTTATCTTCAGTTTTGAGGGAGTAGCTCATAACTTTCCTGAAATGTTTATTAAAAATCCATAGAAATCCAATTCCCGAGGTTGCCTGGAATGAATGTATGGGAATTTCTTGTGCACTCATACTAAAGATAAGCATGGATGACAGCCTTTGAAGGTCTTAAGAAATTGTGGGCACCCTTTTCCCTGCCTAGGGAGGGCCATATTCTCTCGGTAATTTTTTAGAGGTTGCATTGCATGCTAATACTGGGTTGGGCTGAAGCAGGTGCCCAGAGTCAATGGATGTCCTTCCTTCCTTCCTTCCTTCCTTCCTTCCTTCCTTCCTTCCTTCCTTCCTTCCTTCCTTCCTTCCT